CAAGTATAACATTTTGACTTCCAAGGTGATGCCAGTGAGAGATTTCTTTTGTGCGTTGTTGAACAATAAAAATTGTGCTCAATGTACATGCCTATGGCTGCTAAGGGGAAATGAGAGACAGGAGCATTCGGCTTTTAGTTAACGCGCACGCTGCGATTCCCATTAGCAGTCATTGGCATGTACATTGAGCACTATCTGACAAGAAAGGGTTGCTACCGTTGTACTCGCTGGGTGTAACCTCCGAGTTTTAAAAATGTTTAGCGAGCGTTGAGCCACAGTGCCATGAATACAATGAACTAGTATATGCCATGAAGGAACTCGAGGTGGCTAAAGGTGGGAAGTAGATACGAAGCGCAAGCCGTAAGAAAGTAAAAGCCGAATTCTCCTGTCTCTCATTTCCCTTTAGCAGCCATTGGCATGTACCTTGAGCACTATCTGACAGGAAAATGTTGCTACGTTATACTCGCTGGGTGTAAGCTCCTTAGTTTTAGAAAGGTTTAGCGAGCGTTGGGCCGCAGTGCCATGAATACAGTGAACTAGTATATACCATGAACTCGAGGTGGTTAGATGGGGGAAGTAGACCCGAAGCGCAAGCCGTAAGAAAGTGTGCGCGTGCCACCTCTCGTTTAGTCCTTGGAATTTCCGCTGGATGGCGGTGCTTCTATATGTGGAATATATGATGAAAAGATGCAAGATGGTGGTACTTGGAGTGAATAGATGGACGAACAGACTCACAGACAGATGCATGGATGGACGCACGAACGGACGCAGGGGTGGATGCATGGACGAACGCAGGGACGGATGCACGAACAGACGCATTCACGGACTGGCGGATGGACGCATGGATGGTCACACAGACAGACGCATAGACGAGCGGAAGCAAGAACAACTGGACGGACGAATGCTTCGCCCCACTCTCCATCATTCACTCCGTGGATATGCTGCCAATTTTTTTTTCTTTCGATTTCGCACCAATACGACCACTTCGTCCACGAGCTCCGTCAAATGGTTGACGGCAACCGACTCGTCATAGTTGGGGACTTCAATGCTCCACACGCGGCCTGGGGCTATCACAGCACCACCAAGAAGGGGGCGCGTGTTCACGACGCTGCACAGCAACCGCTGTGGAATGACTTGCTCCATCCAACCCGAGTGGGCAACAGCGTGTCGAGGGATACTAATCCTGACCTCACGTTCACTAGAGACGTGCACAACGCAAGGTGGACAAGACTACCAGACACTCTAGGGAGTGACCATCACACAATTCAAATAGAGGTCGAACAAGCCCACCGCTCGCTCAAGACAGGAAAAGCTCGGCTCATGGACTGGACCGCCTACAGGAATGACCTTGATGATGGTTCGACTATCGAAGACTTTGAAGCCTGGTTAAACAGTATTGCAAGTGTTGCTGACGGACATACAAAAAACGATACACTTGAACGAGGACAATCCAGCAGTCGATAATCATCTCCTTCACCTATGGGAAGCTCGAAGATCACTTATTAAACGATGGCAACGGCAAAAGCTCAACCGCAAGCTGAAACGCCGCATCGCCGTACTCACTAGACAGGCACAGGAGTACGCCGAAAACCTTGCGAGCCAGCACTGGCGGTCCTTCTGCGACAAACTTCAAGGGACATTGAGCACAAAGAAGACTTGGCGCATTCTTCGAGCCCTGATCAACGACACCCACACTAAAACAAATCAAAGAAATACAATTCAGCGGCTCATACACAACTATGACGACACAGAGCACCAGTTACTCCAAGAACTTCAAGCAAAACTGCGTGGCTCGGTTAACCAGCAAGCTACCTTCATCAACAATTCGACACCCAGGAAGTGCCGAGGAGCACCGAACGAAGCACTAGACCAGCCTTTCACGCTGGCAGAGCTACACGCGGCCCTAGCTAACCTTACGCGCAACACGAGCCCAGGAAAAGACAGAGTGACCAATAAGCACCTACGACAGCTACCGCCCCGGACGTTGACGGAACTCATTCGGCACTGGAAGAAGGGCGAGCTACCACAAGCCTGCAAGCACTCAGAGGTGACCATCGTACCCAAGCCAAACAAGCCAACCTCGATTGCGGATCTTCGTCCCATTTCTCTTACATCTTGCGCTCGGAAACTCTTTGAGCACATGGTAAACGAGCGGCTCACCACACATCTCGAAGACAATTGTCACTACCCGAACACCATGTTCGGCTTCCGCCAAATAAATGCTCAGCACACAATACGTCCTCTTGCAGATAAAGGAAGATATTCTTCTCCGCTTGAGCAAGCACAGTAAGTCATCTGTTCTAACTTTGGACGTCAAGGGCGCATTTGGCAATGTGAGCCACGAAGCAATTCTGCGTAGCCTGGAAGATGTCGGCTGCGGTACCAAGACATACGCCTATATGCTGGCTTTCCTCACCAACTGCACTGCCACTGTAGGGATTGCCAATATCAGGAGCGAGCTTTTTCAACTTCCTAACAAAGGCACGCCGCAGGGCTCAGTGATATCACCAGTGCTTTTCAGCTTGCCACTCCTTAAGCTCCCATGTCTCTTGGACGCTGTCCCTAAGATACATCACGCGTTATACGCCGATGATATCACTATGTGGACAAGAGGTTCAAGCACGGGTGAACAGGAGGGCCGACTTCAAGAGGCGGTTAACATCACTGAAGGATATCTGAAGACTTGCGGCCTACAATGTGCTCCGGAAAAGTCGGAACTGTTAGTACTTGCGGCACGCACCCGGGGTAGACCACCAAGCTACGACACTCCTGACCCACAAGTCTTTCTACAGGGAGTCCAAATACCACAAGTTGACACGCTTCGAGTCCTTGGACTACACATACATAAAGATGGATCTGGCTCCGCTGCCCTACCCCGGCTGCAGAACACTGTGACACAGCTCACCCACCTAATCCGAAGGGTGGCTAATCGCCGCAGTGGCTTCAAAGAGCACGACACCCTAAAAATAGTACAAGCTCTCCTTTACAGCCGCATAACGTACGGAACTTCCTACCTCAACCTGAAGACAGCGGAGAAGCAAAAAACGTAATCTGCTGATACGAAAAGGCTTACCAAGTTTGCCCTAGGACTGCCGCCAGCCGCCTCCACTGACCGACTGCTATCGAATGGGGAGTTCATAATGCGTGGCAAGAACGCACCGAAGACACCTCATCAACCAGGTCGAGAGACTCAAGCTGTCACTCACAGGGCAAGCCGTCCTTCGACGCACAGGAGACCGGGACCACCCTAGAACCCAACGAAGAACGCAAAGGCAAAATACCGTCACAGCTGCGAGAAGCCTTGAAATTCAGCAGATCCCTCGGAACATGCATGCTCACATCGCCGACAGGCGGCTCGCAGGGTAACTAATCCGAAAAAGCATGGCAATTAACCCGCAGGCGCGAACGTGATTATTTCCAGGCATCAAGAATGCCTAAGGCAAGCTTGCCAAAAAGTCCTTAGCATCGGCGTAGCTCAGTAGTAGAATGCTGGGCTGGCACCCAGCAGACCCGGGTTTCGAGCCCCACTGTGTCCTTTGTGCTAAGTTTTTTTTTTTTTTTTTTTTTTTTAGGGGCGAAGCTCCTTATAGCGGCACCCGTTCGTCCCTCGTAGCGTTGTAGTATGTAACAAGTATAACATTTTGACTTCCAGGTGATGCCAGTGAGAGATTTCTTTTGTGCGTTGTTGAACAATAAAATTGTGCTCAATGTACATGCTATGGCTGTTAAGGGGAAATGAGAGACAGGAGCATTCGGCTTTTAGTTAACGCGCACGCTGCGATCCCCATTAGCAGTCATTGGCATGTACATTGAGCACTATCTGACAAGAAAGGGTTGCTACATTATACTCGCTGGGTGTAACTTCCGAGTTTTAGAAATGTTTAGTGAGCGTTGAGCCACAGTGCCATGAATACAATGAACTAGTATATGCCATGAATGAACTCGAGGTGGTTAAAGGTGGGAAGTAGATACGAAGCGCAAGCCGTAAGAAAGTAAAAGCCGAATTCTCCTGTCTCTCATTTCCCATTAGCAGCCATTGGCATGTACCTTGAGCACTATCTGACAGGAAAAGGTTGCTACGTTATACTCGCTGGGCGTAACCTCGTTGGTTTTAGAAACGTTTAGCGAGCATTGGGCCGCAGTGCCATGAATACAGTGAACTAGTATATATACCATGAACTCGAGGTGGTTAAAGGTAGGAAGTAGACCCGAAGCGCAAGCCGTAAGAAAGTGTGCGTGTGCCACCTCTCGTTAGTCCTTGGAATGTCCGCTGGATGGCGGTGCTTCTATATGGGGAATATGATGAAAAGATGCGAGATGGTGGTACTTGGAGTGTTGAATAGATGGACGAACGGACCACAGATAGATGCATGAATGGACGCATGAACGGACGCAGGAGCGGATGCATGGACGAACGCAGGGACGGACGCACGAACAGACGCATTTACGGACGGGCGGATGGACGCATGGACGGTCACAGAGACAGACGCATGGACGGACGGAGCAAGAACGAATGGACGAACGAATGCTTCGCCCCACTCTCCATCATTCACTCCGTGGATATGCTGCCAATTTTTTTTTTCTTGTGATTTCGCACTATGTGGTTACGGACCCTGGCGGCGGCGGCGGCGGCGGCGGAAAACTGCGCGTGACCCGAGTTGTGATCTCATAACAGCTTTTGCTGAATAAAAGGAAGAAAATGGCTGTTACCTTCGATTCTCCTTGCGCAAATGCGTGAAGGACCCCACGAATCTTTTTGTTTCACCCTTCGATTTCAAGCACCAAAATAGCCTTGATTTTCTTTCTCTATACATAATTATTACCGCACGTCTTTCCTCAATCCTTATGCAATGCTCTGAAAGCGGTTTCTAAATGATAATAAAGCAGGATGGCGAGTATTACGATGACTTTAGCGAAAGCCTTCTTGCTGAACAGCGTTACGCTAACTGTCCTTGCTACTTTAGTTTTTTCATTACAAGCAACTAGGAAGAACCGGAGAGATGGCGGAACTGGGCGCGATCGAGCAGCAGGCTCGAGACCAATGTCTCGCGCTGATCGAGGCATCTACACCGGATCCCAAAGCCGAAGGGTGGCATTGCGTCATTCGCCAAAACGATGGGCGAGACCCTGAGACCCTGGGAGAGCTTCGTAGCTTCCAGGAAGTGGACGATGGGGAAAAGGCTGACGTTCAGTCGACTTCCTGCTCTACGAAGGGCTAGACTGGCACCGAGAGTTTCAATTATCAGTTGTGCAAGGGTACCCGAACATCCTGGAGTACATGAAACGGTTCGAGCAGCTGCCCAACATCCAGGAGTACTTCACCTCCAACCGCTACACCACGTGGCCTATCCTCGGTTACGAAAGGACGTGGGGCTACAAGAAGTCTTCCAGGTGACAGACATCAGGCGCTGCTGCAGAACGTTTATCTCGAATTAAAATGTCTCGTTTCATCTTGCGCTGAACCTTGGGCGTTTCGCGTAAGCCCGGCGACCACGTGGTGGACCGATTTCCAGTACAAGAGACTCCACTGTGCACGTTGAGTTGCTTAATGCTAACAGAAGCGCATGTGGCAGAAACGGTGACGCAGCCTTCAATCTGCGCCACCTTTAGGAGACATAGCACTTTAGCGTGTCGACGAGGTGCAAAGAGAAAAAGCACCCTTAGCACGCTTTCCTATGATCATTGTTTATGCCGTAATCTTAGAAGTAGCTGACGGTGGCTGTGAATTTGTAATTTGGACGAGCAAGACTAAGTATTAATCTATTTCCCTCTGTTTATTTTTCATTCGACGAACGAAAGATACAAAATACCGAGGTTACCTTTTCGATGCTCATAAAATAGGAAGCAAAGTTCGGTGTGAACTTGTGTACGGTGAGGATGACGCTAAATACGGGGCCATTTTCTAGTACACTTCCACCGTAAAGTGCAGGAGGTCTGAAGAACTAGAGGGAACTACAATTTCGTACAATGGAAGCGTTCAACCAGTTTTGTTGCGGAAAAAAAAAGGGGGGGGGGTGCATTTGATGTGGCACGAATCTGCGTAAGTATATAGTCAAGGAAGAAAGGGCGTTTCTGTGACTGCACCAATGCATTTCGAGCCGCGCCTGGGCAGCAGTCGTGGTTGACATTGAGAGGAACGTGCCACGTTACCACCAATTATCGCACTCCACTGCAGGTGCGAAGTCTTCCCGCGGAAGGGCTTTGCGTCACGAGCATGCCTATAGTTAACGGCATCGCTTAGCCGCTCGCATGTATTTGTCTCCCTTAACGGCTTTCCATGCGAACCATGCATTGGGTTTGTTTATTAGATGCGGAGCATCTTATACTCGCGCCTTGTAGTGCGCCGTCCGCACCGCTTCTCGAACATTCGACAGCTGACGCGCGCGCATGCGCCGTCGCGCCGTCGCCCACATTTCCACCATCTGTGCATCCCTTCCTCCTCTACACACCGCGCGCGCTTCACTCCTCCACCATCTGTGCACCCTTCCTCCTCTACACACCGCGTTCGACATCTACAATTCTCCTGATTCTCCAGTGGACGCGCATGTGGCGTCGCGCTTCGAGAACATTCAACAGCTGACAGTGCATGCGCCGTCGTGCTGTATATATACTCAAGGTCGGCGCTCGCTCGCTCAGTTGCCGCTCGTCGGTTGGTTTGTACGGCGCGTCGACGTCCAAGGTCGCGGTGAAATGAATTCCAACGAATCCACAAACACAATGATCGACGTCCCTTCGACCAGCGCCGCCCTTTCGCATACGTGTGTACGTGTTCACTCATTTAACACCCCCTCCTACAACCACGTTAACCAATTTAGCCATCGACCCAAGTAAGTCGCAATTTAACACCCCATTTCACAACCACGTTAACCAATTTAGCCATCGACCCAAGTAAGTCGCACTTTAACACCCCGTTAACCAATTATACGGTCCGCATCCTCCTCAGTGTTCCCCCGAGGGAAGCTGCGAGAATTTTTTTGTGTTTTGTTTTTTCGGCCTGGCTGCGCCGGCCTGTGCTATCGCCGTTTTCACAGCGTTTCGAACAAACGCTACCACTGCGTTTCGAACAAACGCTATCGAACAACGCTTCAGGCGTTGTTCGATAGAAACAACGCTTCAAGCGTTGTTTGTTAGAGGCGCTGTTCGAACGAACAGCGTTTCTAACAAACGCTATCACGGCGTTCTCGAACTCGCGCCGAGGGATATAAATTCCCGCACAGCCGATGCCACGTCATTCTATCGCCGACGCTCACTAGCGTGCCCGTCGTTTTGCTGGCCGCTGCTTCGCCGCCTGTGTATTTTTTTCAGTTGTTAGGGGAGCACAGGTTCGCTCCAATAAACTTGTTTTCCTCATAGACAACTGCGTCGTCCTTTGCTGCGTGACATCTGGTGGAGGTGCTGGGTACATGAACCCTAAGCCATTGCCAAGCCGACAAGCACGCCCAACTCGTGTCAGCCGCCGACAGCAAGGCCTTCAGCCAGAGTTTGAACTGCTCCCGGATAAAAAAAGGAAAGAAGACGTAAAAACCACGATGATCAACGAAGGCACCATGACCAGCGCTACCAACCCTCCCGTCGTTCTGCAACAACCTCGTGAGCCCCCATCATTCCGAGGATCTCCTGGTGAAGACCCGGAAGAGTGGCTGGAGAAGCTGGAGCGCATCCGCATCTTTAACAGGTGGGATGACGAAGAAACGTTTCGTCATGTCTTCTTCTATTTGGAGGATGCAGCTCGAACGTGGTTTGAGAACCATGAAGGCTCCCTAACCGACTGGACTGTCTTTAAGAGCGAATTCCTCAAAACATTCGCTACGGTTGTGCGGAAAGAACGAGCCGCCCTTTTGTTGGAGACGCGAATGCAACACCCTAACGAAGGTGTTGTACTGTTCGCTGAGGAGATGATGCTGTTCCGGAGAGCTGACCCCGAAATGGCAGAAGAGAAGAAGGTGCGCTTTCTGATGTGGGGAGTTAAACAAGAGCTCTTCGCTGGACTCATCCGCAACCCCCCTAAGACCGTCGCTGAGTTCGTCACCGAGGCTTCGATGATCGAGAGGACGTTGGATATGCGTTCGCGGCTATACGATAGACCACTCAACGCCCTTTCGGTGAACCCGGTAAACGCCCCTGGATTGGCGACGGAAGACTGGCGGGAGACCATCCGCGCCGTCGTTCGCGAGGAACTGAGGAAATTGTTCCCAGCAACGCCGCAGCCCCAAGTCGCCTCCCTCACTGATGCCGTCCGCGAGGAGGTCCAGCAAGCACTGGGGAATTCCACGCCGTCGGAAGCATCTTGCGAACCACAAGCGATGACCTACTCCGCTGCTGCTCGTCGACCCCGACCCGTCCCAACCCGTTATCAAGAGGCCCCGCCGTACCGCCGCCCAATGTCGCCCGCCCGACCCCCTGTAACCCGAAACCAGGCGCCCAGGAAGACCGAGGTGTGGCGAACGCCAGATAATCGTCCGCTGTGCTACCACTGCGGAGAGGCCGACCACGTCTACCGCCGCTGCCCGTACAAGAGGCTGGGTTTGCGTGGGTTCTCCGTCTACGCACCCCGCCCGCGAGCCGGCCAGCGCCCATTTGAGATCGAAGAATACCTGTCGAACACCAGCCGTGGACCATCCCGTTTCAACCGTTCGCCGTCGCCCTACCCGTACCAATCCCCCAACCGTCGCAGCCATGCTGACTTCGCCCGTGGAAGGTCCACCAGCCCACGAGGGGGAAACTAAAAGCAGCAACTTCTGGAGGTGAAGTTGCACAACGGCGAGAAAATGAAAACCCTCCAACGACGCAAGACCGTGACTCACGACATGCCCTCATCCCGACGACCCGACGACACCCTGACGAGACCCCCGAAAACGACGACAGCTACGCTGCGCGACGCGTACCCGAAATGACGAAGCCTGCCGCTGAGAAGACGACGATGACGACGCATACTGCCCGACCATCAACACGTGCAAGCCACGATACGACGCCCCGACGCACCCGAAACTCGAGGAAAGCGGCATCCCACGTCCAGTTGTCCATCGACGGCCTTGACGTAGTCGCCCTCATCGACACGGGAGCCGACTACTCGGTCATGAGCGGGTCATTCGCGTCCAAGCTAAAGAAAGTTACGACCAGATGGGACGGTCCGCACATACGCACAGCAGGAGGCCACCTCGTGACCCCAAGTGGAATGTGCACATCGCGCGTCACCATAGACGGCACTACGTACCCTTCGGAGTTCGTCATTTTGCCTAACTGCTCCCGCGACGTAATTCTCGGAATGGACTTTTTGACGGACCATGGCGCAATAATTGATCTGCAGACCAGGTCGATAACGTTTTCTTCCGATCACTCCACGACGCCGCAGCCAAACCTCGGACACCGTGCTGCTGTAAGGATCGCCGACGATCACGTCACCCTGCCACCCCGCGCAAGCTTGATGATCGCCGTCTATTGTGAAGGTGCTGCTCCTGACGTCGACGCTATCGTGGAGACTGACCAAAGGTTGCTTCTAGACCGCGGTGTGTATGTCGCAAGAGGCATTGTGCGGTTTAAGCAACGCAGATCCCACGTTTTGGTCACCAATTTCACCGAGGAGTACCAGCATCTAAACAAGGGCGCTGCAATTGCGTTCCTCGAAGAAACGCAAGAAGCGAGTCAAGTGATCGCGGTCGCCGCCTTTGAACGCGCACGCGCAGATGCTTCCAGGCTGCCACATCCTTTCGACGTGAACCCGGCGCTGTCGCAAGAAAATCGGGACAGATTACTGGAGTTGCTCCGTCGCTACAGCGAGTGTTTTTCCTCGAACTCGAAGTTACGTCAGACACCTTTGGCGAAGCACCGGATAATAACCGAAGATGGAGCCCCACCTACCAGACAGTCACCGTACCGCGTTTCTTCACACGAGCGCGAAGCCATCCGGACTGAAGTTGATGACATGCTCAGCGACGACATAATACAGCCATCAAAAAGTCCGTGGGCTGCGCCGGTTGTACTCGTGAAGAAAAAAGATGGCACTTTAAGATTCTGCGTTGACTACCGGAGACTAAACAAAATCACCAAAAAGGACGTGTACCCCCTGCCACGAATCGACGACGCCCTCGACCACCTCTGCCACGCCAAGTACTTCTCATCCATTGATCTGAAGACCGGCTACTGGCAAATTGAAGTGGACGAGAGAGACCGAGAGAAGACTGCATTTATAACCCCGGACGGTCTATACGAGTTCAAGGTGATGCCGTTTGGGCTGTGCACGGCGCCCGCAACGTTTCAGAGAGTCATGGACACTGTGCTAGCAGGCCTGAAGTGGCACACTTGCCTCGTATACCTCGACGACGTTGTCGTATTCGCCCGGACTTTCGACGAACACCTCACAAGGTTGGAATCTGTACTCGAGGCCATTCGTACGTCGGGGTTAACGCTGAAGCCTGAGAAGTTCCGTTTCGCGTACGAGGAACTCAAGTTTTTGGGTCACGTCGTGAACGCCGCGGGAGTCCTACCTGACCCGGCAAAAACATCAGCCATTGCGAACTTCCCAAGGCCGAAAGATAAGAAGGGTGTGCGAAGGTTTCTCGGACTGTGCGCATACTACCGGCGCTTCGTCGCAAACTTCGCACGCATTGCAGAGCCACTCACGCGCCTGACGAAAGAAAGCACCCCTTTCAGCTGGGAAAACGACCAAGAAAAGGCACTCTGCGAGCTGCAACAACGCCTGCAAAACCCGCCCGTGCTCGCTCATTTCGACGAAAACGCCGAAACGGAAATGCACACGGACGCCAGTGATATCGGTTTGGGTGCCGTCCTCTTCCAAAAGCAAAGCGGTTACGAAAAGGTAATCGCCTATGCAAGCCGTGGTCTGTCGAAGGAGGAGAGAAACTACTCTGCCTCCGAGAAAGAGTGCCTGGCTATGGGCCATTTCAAAATTTCGCCCATACGTCTATGGTAGACCGTTTAAGGTTGTGACAGACCATCATGCGCTGTGTTGGCTCGCCAATTTGAAGGACCCCTCTGGCCGTCTTGGGCGGTGGAGCTTGCGCCTGCAAGAGTTTGACGTTACAATATTCTACAAATCCGGCAGGAAACACTCCGACGCCGACTGCCTGTCCCGCGCCCCCGTCGACCCACCACCACAGGACTCCGATGAAGACAGCGCGTTCTTCGGAGTCATGACAGAGAGCGACCTAGCCGCCCAGCAGCGTGCCGACCCTGACCTCCGCGCCATGATCGACTACCTCGAAGGACGCAACGTCGCCGTGCCTAGGGCGTTCAAGCGCAACTTACCAGCATTCAGCCTCAAAAACTCCATCCTAGTGAAGAAGAATTTCAACCCCGGAACGAGAACGAATTATCTACTTGTCATCCCCGCAGACCTTCGTGACGAAATTTTGGAAGCGTGCCACGACGACCCGTCTTCCGGACATCTCGGAACAGCTCGCACGATTACAAAAAATCAAGGCGAAATACTTCTGGCCCCGCCTTACATCCGATGTCACCCACTACGTCCGGAGCTGCCGTGACTGCCAGCGACGAAAAACACCACCGACGAGACCAGCCGGACTTCTGCAGCCGATCGCCGTCCCAACGAGGCCCTTCCAACAGATCGGAATGGACCTTCTGGGCCCGTTCCCTACATCCCGATCCGCGAACAAATGGATTGTCGTAGCGACAGACTACATGACGCGCTACGCAGAGACCACCGCTCTTCCTAGGGGAACTGCACAAGAAGTTGCAAAGTTCTTTATTAACCAAATTGTGCTGCGACATGGAGCCCCTGAGGTCCTAATCACGGACCGCGGAACGACCTTCACTGTGGAGCTTATGCAAGGAATCTTACGCTACAGCAACACAGATCACCGAAGAACGACGGCGTACCACCCCCAAACGAATGGACTAACGGAACGGCTCAATAAGACAATCGCGGATATGCTGTCTATGTACGTCGACGTTGAACATAAGACGTGGGACGAAGTCCTCCCGTACGTCACGTTTGCGTACAACACGGCTATTCAAGAAACCACGCAGATGACACCGTTCGAGCTCGTCTACGGAAGACGGCCGACTACGATGCTCGACGCCATGCTTCCGCACGTAGAAGACGACGAGCTCAACGCCGACGTCCAAGGATACCTCCAACGTGCGGAGGAGGCCCGCCAGCTCGCTCGAGCTCGTATAACGGACCAGCAACTGGTGGATGCCGGACGCTACAATCTCCGACGCCGAGACGCCGAGTACCATCCTGGAGATCGTGTGAGGGTTTGGACTCCCATTCGACGACGTGGACTCAGTGAGAAACTTCTACGACGCTATTTGGGACCCTACCAGATTCTACGACGTGTTGGCGAACTAACGTACGAAGTGATCCCCGATGGGGGACTCCCGTACATCACGACGACGCACGCGGCCCGAAGTCGTCCATGTGGTTCGCTTAAAACCTTTCTACGGACGATGACGAACTTTTAATTTGTGTAGACTGTCCCTTATGTTAGCATCGGGTCGATGCACTCTTAGAGGGGGGGTAATGCCGCGAACCATGCATTGGGTTTGTTTATTTGTGTTTTGTTTTTTCGGCCTGGCTGCGCCGGCCTGTGCTATCGCCGTTTTCACAGCGTTTCGAACAAACGCTACCACAGCGTTTCGAACAAACGCTATCGAACAACGCTTCAGGCGTTGTTCGATAGAAACAATGCTTCAAGCGTTGTTTGCTAGAGGCGCTGTTCGAACGAACAGCGTTTCTAACAAACGCTATCACGGCGTTCTCGAACTCGCGCCGAGGGATATAAATTCCCGCACAGCCGATGCCGCGTCATTCGATCGCCGACGCTCACTAGCGTGCCCGTCGTTTTGCTGGCCGCTGCTTCGCCGCCTGTGTATTTTTTCAGTTGTTAGGGGAGCACAGGTTCGCTCCAATAAACTTGTTTTCCTCATAGACAACTGCGTCGTCCTTTGCTGCGTGACAATATATACAGACAGGCACTGCGCCGTGCTCCCGACCGGGTTGCAGAAATTAGGTGCCTTTTCTCATCTTCTAACCACTACCACCACCACCATTATACAGACGTAGCACATGCGTTTGAGAGCCAACTCTCGATGCACCAGTAAGCGGCAAACCTTTACGATTCTCGTGGCGAACAAGCCTACAAAAATGCACGGAAACGTGAGCCATGAAAAAAAGGGGAAAACAGTCGTGATGACACAAAGCTGTTCGGTACGAATGCCGATGTTCGGAGTGCTTTCGCTGCAACGAGGCGATATGAAGCGATGCTGTAACTTTCGATTCGCGACGAAATGGTTTCAAGCAGTGCTGAAAAGCGATTTTATTCAGGTGTTTCCGAAAGCCGAACGCGCTATGTCAGAACCGCTTTAGAGGTGTTGTCTATTTGAGCAGGAAACTTTTGTACATAGTAGAAGTGTGTTGTAAATTGCAACAATACTGATTGCTGGCCTAGTTAGTATACTTAATGACATGCTTTGGCCGCAAATAACACACACACACAAAGTGTGTTATTTGTCTATGTGTTATTCGAACTTTGTGTGTGTGTTATTTGCGGCCAAAGCATGTTACCATAAATTGGCTTGCCGTTTTTAAGAAAGGTTTTTTTTATTATTATGCCTTTTCGTTAACGCTGCTCTTGGAGCAAAATCATCGACGGTGGAGAAAACGAAGTTATGCTGATTGCTAGCCAACGGCCATCTCGGTAGCGTTCGTCATAAAAATGCAAACATATATCTTGTAAACATTACAATAAAACGAAGAGGTGTGAAGCCCAAACAGGCACTGTACTCCTCTGTTGATGCTATGTGCTGTCATCAACATACAAGGAATATCCTACATCGCCAAGGTCCTCATGATGAAACACAGAGCATGTTTGCCGAGGCTGTATACTCGTGTCATCCGAATAGAGTACGCTGCGCTTCTACGGAGAACCCAAAAGAAGAAACGATTCATTCACACGTGTCGCAGCATGTGAATTAAGTTTTTTTTTTTTTTCTTATGTCCTCGTGCTCAACGAGGCTGATGCGTATAGTGCAACCTGTTCCAACGGCACACCAAGGAGTCCAAATAGAAACTGCCGGGCGTGTCCTCCGTCCCCACATGATTACCTATTTTAACAAGCTTCGAGTCACTTCAATTCAAATGCAACGTTCGATCTGTGGGTTCCTATGCTTCGTTTTATCCTTTTTTTTCTTTCATGGTCGCACAGTGATGAGGGTGGCGATTCGGGATAGTTGGTATGGTAGCATGATAATATATGGTAGCGCAGACAAAGGACCTCTGCACTACCCTATATTATCACGCAGTGATATCACGCTTGTATTAGCAGCGGTTGGCACGTGATAGTAAATGTGCGCGCCTTAAACGGCAGAAAAGGCGAAAAACAAAACTCCCTACAATGCGGAAGTTGAGGGTTTGTGTTGTCAAGCATCCGGTTTGGGCGCGCAATCTCTTCTCGCGCAATAGCACGTGCGAAGAAGAAGAAAGCAAAACAAAAGAAAAACGCACCGATATAAACAGCGGCGCCGCGAGTGTACACACAATGATAACCGTTATGCGGAAAGGGGGGTGTGGTATGTATAAACGTACATAAAAGGGACCTCGCAAGTGGCGCCCCTCACGCTCGCAATGGCGGCGACTGCCATTGCCGAGGTCAAAGCACCGTCAAAGGCGTGATGGAAAGGGCAGGCCGACGCTGCACAGCCCGCCTGCGTCCGGTCCCTTTTCTGGACGTTCTCTTTGCCACTTCGCTCTGTTGCCGCGCTGCAATCTTTGCTACATTTTCGCTTTGAATGAATGTACGCGGGCACCACGTGACGCCAGAGAGAGAGAGAAGGTGCAGACCGGACTGGCTTGTCTGGGCAGCCGTGCATCGGTCGGCGTACGAGTGGATCAGTTGACGGCAGGGCGTACTACAGCGAAGCACACGTGCGGAATCGTCCCGAGTAAAAGCAAGCCGGTAATACATTCGCGGGTGCCGTTTGCGAGAATTCCAGGGTGTGCCGAGGCATCTAACTGAACGGTGAGTGAGCTGCAGCGATGCTTCTTCTTTTTGAAGACGATAGCGTGTGTGATACGCCGCAACGGGTCGCTACGTGGCCCCGCCTATTCTTCGCCGGCTTGCGGCGAGTGCCAACACAGTTGCGGCCAGTCTGGAGCGAGCGTAATTTTGCACTGGCTCCGCTGAAAAGTACACTTTACCTGTCTTTTCTCGCTTGGGTCACTCACGCAAAACAGAGGAAAGGTAAACAAAAGCGCAATTTAACGCAATATCGCCACACAAAGCTAAAACGTGCACGAACAAATACTTTCGAAAACCTAGTTGGGCACTGAGCTCGGCTTTTGTACCTATATAGTCAGAGATGGCAGGGTAGAAGCGACTTGGATTGACAATAACCACAAGTTCTTATTAATGTAGGATAACTGTGCTCAGCCACATAGCAGTTCGTTTAGATCGCGTGGTCGTGGTGCAAGGTAGAAAGAGTAGCATTGAGAATGCAGCGCCATAATATGCGAGGAGCGTTGAAAATAACTATCAAAAAGGCGATTCTCTCTTCCGGAGGCAGGTCATTGAAAATTCCAAGGTTTGGCAGATACCTGTCAGGTCAGAAAAAAACTTGAATGAGGATGATTCTGGACGCTAATGAACTGAGTTTATTTTAGAGGCCCGACTTTTCGAAGGCGGGCCGGCAGCGCTTTCAACAACTAGAGACGTAGAGATGTTGGGGAAAGGAAAACACGCAACTTCTGCAGCCATCGAAGAACAAGCTAGTTTATCTCCAAAGTGCAAATGACCTGCGCTCTTTCCCCTCCCTCCCCCCCCCCCTCATCGGTCGAATTGCGTGTTTGGAAAAAGTGCTTAACGATTTAGAGTACTCGGTACTCAACTATGGGAGAGCTGAAAGCCGTCCCTTGGGCGTCATGTTTAATGTCCCAAAACCACATCAGACGTCACCGCACTCGCAGCGACGTGCCTGAACGTCGAATGTTAAGAAAAAAAATGCTAAACGATTTTGAGTACTTGGTACTCAACTATGGGAGAGTAGTAAGCCGTCCCTAAAAAGAACACAAATAAGTGAAAGAATGCATATAAAGACGTGAATGCTCGAATTCGAAAGAAAACAAGCTCCGCAATGGATGCAAAGAGTAAAAAAAAAAAGCGGAATGGCGCGATGACGTGCTTCTCGCAACGACCTTCCATTGGTCACAGGGTTTCTGTTGCTAAAAGGGAGAACTAAGCAGTCTTTGAATGCAATATAAAGGGTCCTCAGTCGGCATTATCATAAAAAATGCGTAGCCATAACTCTATACTATAAAAGGTCGTGAAATGTCTGATTGAGTACGGGGAGGGAGAATAAGCGTGCGCAGGGTTCCCTTTCAGGGGGGGGGGGGGGGGCAAAGGTTAGTCGCATCACCACCCCTCCTCTATGTTACGTCAGTTTATGGTACTAACATTGTGCCCCACTTCCTATTATATCCATGCATGTGTGAGGCTGACTTTGCACCCCCCTCCTCCCACTTTGGTGACTGGGGAGGGGGGCGCCCTCTCCCCCTCCTGCCTCACCGTGCACATGCCTACGCAAATGCCGTCGCACTGCAGTCGCTTGAACGGCTGCCAACAGCGGAGAAGCGGCTTTATAAACACAGGATAGAAAGAAAAAAAAAACAAGCGAAAAGGAGGAGTTGAGAAAACGCTTTTTATATGCGAGGTTCCCATATCTCTTATATACGCGTGCGCGTATTACCGAGCCCATAATTATTCACACAACGCCAACTCGCCAAGGACAAGTGAACTGTGAAATGCCTTCAGGGCTTCCTGTTTGCGATTCTGGCAACTACCGCGACCTCCAACTACTTTACTCACAGCTCCGCCCAAGCACTCTCCCAAACCACCGGATTCTAATTTCTCGACATGTTTCCTCGCTGACGGCGCTGTCATGAATAGGCCCACGCCGAGAAATAACAACGGGAGTATGTAGAAAACGAAATAATAGCCAGCGAGCTAGTTTGACTACAAAAAAAAAAGTATGTTGAGACGCAAATGTTTATTCTTTTTTTTTTGCATCAAATGAAGGGCCAAGCTCAAAAGAACCCAAAACAATTTACCGCTAGACGTGAGTGCCCCCTGAAAAAAGTAATTACAGTAGGTTCTGAAGAGCTAGTTTCGGTATACAGAGTACCCGAACGTCACAACACAGTATTAACGCGTTCGTGCAAGATATCGTGACGTTTCCCGGCCGTTCCACATTGAGGCTCTGTTGGTGACGCACAGGCGGCCATTTTGGAAGTTTTGGTACCTGATGTCATCACAAATAGCCATGCCATACTGCAGTGTGAAGACACCATAATTAGTGTGTAGCCTGACGTAAAGCTATACTGCCGATCTTTAAAGGTGCATCATAACTAAATTGACTTTAGTGTCAAAAGAATTTATAAGTGTGTGTGTGTGTGTGTGTGTGTGTGTGTGTGTGTGTGTGTGTGTGTGTGTGTGTGTGTGTGTGTGTGTGTGTGTGTGTGTGTGTGTGTGTGTGTGTGTGTGTGATGTCATCGATATGTGGGGTTTAACATCCCAAGTCCCAAAACCACCATATGATTATGAGAGACGCGGTAATGGAGGGCTCCGGAAATTTCGACCACCTGGGGTTCTTTAGCGTGCACCCTAATACCTAAATCTGAGTACACGGGCCTACAACGTTATCGCCTCCACACACACACACACACACACACACACACACACACACACACACACACACACACACACACACACACACACACACACACACACACACACACACACACACACACACACACACACACACACACACACACACACACACACACACACACACACACACACACACACACACACACACACACACACACACACACACACACACACACACACACACACACACACACACACACACACACACACACACACACACACACACACACACACACACACACACACACACACACACACACACACACACACACACACACACACACACACACACACACACACACACACACACATATACATATACATACATACATACATACATACATACACACATACACATATATATATATATATATATAGAGAGAGAGAGAGAGAGGAGCAGCGCTTTCAATTAGATAATAATGCACTTCAAGTTGTCAAAGACTATAAATACTTAGGGCAGGTAATAACCGCGGAGCCGAACCACGTGATTCAGGTAACCAGAAGAATAAAAATGGGGTGGAGCACATTTGGCAAGCACTCTCAAATTATGACAGGTAGGTTGCCACTATCCCTCAAGAGGAAGGTATATAACAGCTGTATCTTGCCGGTACTTAGCTACGGAGCAGAAACCTGGATACGTACAAAGAGGGTTCAGCTTAAATTGAGGACGACGCAGCGAGCAATGGAAAGAAAAATGGTAGGTGTAACCTTAAGAGACAAGAAGAGAGCATAGTGGATTAGGGAACAAACGGGGGTTAAGGATATCATAGTTGAAATCAAGAAAAAGAAATGGACATGGGCCGGACACCTAGCACGTAGGCAGGATGACCGGTGCATGGTCATTAAGGGTAACTGGCTGGATTCCCAGAGAAGGCGAGCGAATTAGGGAGGTACAGAAGGTTAGGTGGGCAGATGAGATTAAGAAGTTTGCGGGTATAAATTGGCAGCAGCAAGCACAGGACCGGGTTAACTGGCGGAACATGGGAGAGGCCTTTGTCCTGCAGTGGACGTAGTCAGGTCGATAATATATATATATATATATATATATATATATATATATATATATATATATATATATATATATATATATATATATATATATAAGTGGGAGAAAAGATAACTTGCCGTGGGCGGGCTCCCACGGCAAGTTATCTTTTACCCACTTTTCTTTCTTCATATTCACATTACAATTTGGTCTAATATCTTCCCCTATACTTTCCTTGGCATTATTGTCTGTTAGATATCATTAATATTGTGTAGAACACAGAAAAACGAGCCTTTTAGTAAACACTTCTTTCCTTTATATATATATATATATATATATATATATATATATATATATATATACGTGAAGTAATGTGGCTAGCTGTGGCGAAGTACAAAATGGTACTTAACAAAAACTGGACATAACACAATACTCATGCAGTAAAGCTGCACGCACCACTCACAAAACACAAATCGTGAGTTGCGTGGTAACAAATGACTCACGTTTAATATATACTGCCAGTGCTTATATACGTGTTTAAGCTATGCTGCCTGTGCTCATCTAATCTGCGTGTAAGGAACAGCAAAAGAAAGGTCTTTGCACCCTTCATGAGTGCCGCCTCTGATGGCGGGTAATCGAAATCCGCGAACTGATGTTTTATCAACCGATTGCTCAGCGTGCCCAACAACGGGTCCCCATCCAAGGACGTCTGCGGACGGCTGTGAGTTAGGTGGAGCGAAAAACTTTCGAAACTTGCGGGCACGGAAAGAATATATAAGCTTGCGCAAGACAGTGTTAATTGGCGACCATTGGGTACGGTTTTAGACTTGCAGTGGATAAAGATAAGATGTAGTTAATGATAACGAATCTGCGTATCTGTCCTTCTGGAAGCTCCTGTGGACCGTATACGTTTAAATTGCAATTAACAATAAAACTACATACAATGCCACAGCGCGTGAATGGATGTTTATCCCACATGACTTCTTTATTCGAAACAAACGGACTGGCCCGTAAGACAATTGGCACAGCCTGTCTCGACAACCCTATTCCGTTTGAAACGCGAAACGTAAAATTCAAAATGCGTTTATGAAGCCGTTGCTGGCCGGCGTGCTCCTAATGCGCGCTTATTGGAGCATGAGAAAGCAAGCTAAATTACTGTGGTAAACTCTATAGTACGAGCTACGACACAAATTAAGCGGATACCAACGTCGTGCGTCCGTCCAGACGACAGTTGTGCGGGCCAAACGGGAGCTGTACAATAGAACAGATGAAAGTACGCTTTGATTGCGAGGTAGGACAACGCTTGACGCTAATCAAAATATATCCTTTTTGAGATCCTGCGTTTTGAAGCCTCTCAGGGATGAGCTGACTCGTTATTCCGGATGGAGTCAGTCCGGCTCCGAAACGTCGGATCTTCAAGATGAGATCGCTCATCAGTCATTTGTTTATTATAACAGTGAGCTTCAACTAAGTTTCATATTTACGTTGCGCTGTGGGAGGCACTGTTACACAAGAACTTGGCAAAAAAATAACAAGAAAGCAAATGTGCCTCTTGTACTTTCTATACAAGCTCCGAATGTACCAGTACTTGCCACAACCCAACGTAAAGGTGAAGCGCTATCAGCTTTGCACATATCAAGTTCTGCTTACATTAGATTATGTTGTGTTATCTGTATGTTTTAGCTTTCTGAGCTACTGTCAACTACGAAATAAACAAACGAACCCTCATTAAGCAGTCTTCTTCAGACTGAGGATGCGTTTGCTCTCACGTTACAGGACACCGACAATGGCTCCCATAGTCGGCTACTGGGACGTCCGTGCCCTGGCGCAGTTCATTCGCAACCTGCTCGTCTACAAGGGAGTCCAGTTCGAAGACAAGCGGTACAAGTTCGGCCCGGCGCCGGACTTCGACCGCTCCGACTGGCTCAAGGAGAAGTTCACGCTGGGTCTCAAGTTCCCCAATCTGCCGTACTACATCGACGGAAACGTCAAGATCACGCAGAGCTTGGCCATCCTGCGTTACCTGGGAAGGAAGCACGACCTAGCCGCCAGGTTGGTAGGGCAAGGACTTCGTTACAGTGTCATTCTTAGTTAAATGTCATCCCCAAAGATTACCATCATAGAAACAGACGTCAATGCTGCGAGTCAAAAAATTACATACTTATTTTCTTAGGCTGCTTACGTCAGACGCGAACAAGGAGAGCGGAGAGTAGATATTTGAAACTGTGGCACACATCCACGTTGAACTGGTACAGCCATCTCGTGCTCGACACGTTGTCGCCATCTTCTCGTGTTCTGAATGTATTGGCACGTACGATCACGCTACCACATCATCAAAATAAGCTTATGTGTACTGTAGTTAGACAGTCGAGATCTTTATTAAACGGTCCTGGCGAGTTTGAGCCACCAGGGTGTCCTCGGTGGACATCCAAGAACGCTACCACATCATCAACATAATCTTATGTGTGCTGTAGTCAGTCAGTCAAAAACCATATTAAACGGTTATGACGAGTTTAAGCCACCAGGGTGTCTGTTTTCGAGGCTAGCAGCCGCTACTGCTTAGGCGACACCCAAGTCGGAGCAGAAACGCTGTCGCCTTCCGCCAATTCTTGGGCCTGTGGACTGCGTTTAGCTGGTTTTGGAAATTGGGGCTCGGTGTGTAGTGGGGAGAATAATTATTCCGTATTTCGTAAGCTGCCCCGCTCTTGATTTCAGTCAATTCCTAAACATAGTCTACTACGAAAATGTGCTTAAAATCTTTAGTAACGCAGTCTACTACGAAAGTGTGCATTTGCTTGAAATTCGTATGGATCTTCTATAGTTTCTTTACAGTTAAGTATTTGAATTGCGATGTCCTGAATGTTTTTTTTTTTTTGCTAACCACACTGCCGTCCTTGTTTTTTTCACGAGCTAGGATGTAGGCCTAGCAAAAAAAGAACAGTCGTCCTATTCCTTCTGCCTCATATCGGTGGCATTTAACGTTGCCTTTTAAGTACACATTCCAGAATAAAGATTGATATTGTTAATATCATGAACTTTATGATGTAATGTCATCGGCAGTGCTTGCCCGAATGCATCTTTCTGTGTGTATATGCGATTATTGTATAAACCAGTCATCACTCGATACCAGGCGATGACTCAGCCTAACATCACCAGGGATACCACTAGGATCGCTATCACCACCCCTATGGCGGACTACAGTATAACGCTGATATCAGCCATTGTCGGTCGCGATATCTTTCTTTATAGTTTGTTCGTAACTTTCCACATTTCGCGGCGAAAGTTACTATGGCCCTTCTGAAACTTGCCTACAGCCCGGGCATTGCAGTCTTCATAGCCTACAATACTCTTTTTTCCTAGTGTTCTTTGAAATATTTACTTTACAAGAGCCCCGCCATAGTGGTCTATTAGCTAAGGCACTGGGCTGCTGACCCGCAGGTCATGGGATCGAATCCCGGATGCATTTCTGATGGAGGGGGAAATGTTGTAGGCCCGTGTGCTCAGACTTGAGTGCACGTTAAAGAAACCCAGGTGGTCGAAATTTCCAGAGCCCTACACTATGGCGTCTCTCATAATCATATGGTAGTTCGGGGACGTTAAGCCCCACATATGGATCAATTACTTTACCAGAGCGAAAGAAAATTATTGTGACACACTCCTAAGTTATGCAAGGGTGGGGCGCTGAGACAAAATGCTGATGAATTCTCAATCACTACGTTTCCCAGGAACGAAGACGAGACCCTGGAGCTGGACGTTCTCGAACAGCAGGCCCGAGATCTGACCACGCGGCTCATCTTTGCCACGGCCCCGAACCCAAACTACGAAGAGACGATCAAGGCGTACGCCGACAACATCGACAACGTGCTGAAGCCCTGGGAAGAGCACCTGGCCAACCGCGAGTGGGCCCTGGGAGACAGGCTGACGTACGTGGACTTCCTGCTCTACGAAGGGTTCGACACTCACCGCGAGTTCAAGGGCGACGCCGTGCAGCGGTACCCACGCATCGTCGCGTACCTGAAGAGGTTCGAGGAACTGCCCAACCTGAAGGAGTACTTCGCGTCGGACAAGTACCACAAGTATCCCATCCTGGGACCCCACCGCAAGTGGGGCTTCAAGAAGTGAAACGCCCCCACTGGCTCCTGGCATGCCCAGTTGGAGGCGCAGTTACCGCGCCGCTGCTCGCCTCCCGAATAATAAAGGTCCGTTACCTGAATAAAGTGATCCACTGCGATATCGGTACTGCAATACCCACAATGTGGAAAATGTTTCATGAAACGAAAGAATTGCCATCCGCCTGTTCTGTATAGCAGAAATCTGACTCGCAACGACGGGCACGATGACGGCCTTTTACACAGACCTTTTACCACCGAAACTTGTTCCCTGCTATTGGTTGGATCGAAGGCGTGGCCGATATTCCTTCTGTACTTTGGTATCTAGTCTCATGCTTAGATCACACTGCACCGCAGCAGCTCCCCCGACTCTTATAAAACGGTCATTTGGCGATGAACAACGCTCCATGGAGACAGCGAATGAGGCAGCGTTAGAGAACAGGGACCCATAACAAGCTACCGTTAGAGACACCTAACTACACAGTGAAACACGCTTGCGAAGCTCCCATACAGTGTCTCATGCTTCCCACATCTCTCTCTGTTGACTTTTCCTGAGCGTTCATCAGCATTGCCTCTCTCTTATTTTTTTTCTCAAGGAGTTTCTGATTGTGCGAGTCGGCAAAGATCTCCATCGAAGCGCGCTGTACCATGACCGTAGAACATGGAAGCTAACGCTGACCTCTCAGGTCGTATAGTTAGTGTATGCGAAAGATACGCATTAGCACCTTGATGGTGGAACCATTACATAGGAATAGAGAATCAACCTCAAAGCTGAAGTCCCGTTAGTTAACACTGCAGCCTAAGACTGCGAGCATCCGGCCGCATACTGAACACATAACTGATCGTAGGCACCACATTATAGCACGCTTGCATGTCACTATATTTGACATTTCACGGTGAGGAAGACTGAGGAAACTCCGAGGCGCCTTCTGGTCTGCGCAAGATGTGTCTAGGCCAGCAGCATGTACGAACTTTCTGCTCGCAATTATGTGAAACAACCACAGAGGAAAGCACGACATGGTGATATTATGATAAAAGGTGTCAGGCCAATAATAAAAACCACTTGTTCATTGAACAAGCCAATCATGTTTCAAGTAATTCTGGGACGATTCACAGAGCTTCCAGTTCACAAACAATGGTTATCAGTTGCGGTAGCCTGTTGTGGTCGGTGCCTGAATGCTAACACAAAGGTCACGGGATCAAGTTCCAGCCACGAGAGGCTCATTTCGAATGAGCCAAAATGCTGCAGGTTTGGGTACTTAGAGTTAGGAGCACATTAAAGAACCATGGGTGGTCGAAATTCCCGGAACTCATCATTACGGTGTCTAAAACATTTATATCATGGTTTTGGAACGTTAAACCCTAAATATTATTTAATGGACACATAACGAGGATTAATAATTTGTACAGGGCTCATAAATTACCCTTTCAACTTCGAATCTTATCGCAAGCTGAAGCTATGTGAGTCGAAATGGATGTTTATACGAAACACGACCAGTGTTTCGTATAAACATCCGTATATATAAACGTATAAAGGGTAAGAGAAAGAAAAGAACAAGAGCCTTCAAACAAATAATAAAAACGCCTAAAAATAATGAACATACGGGAACAGGTACCGAGTTCACTAATCTTTCTGTTCGCAGCTGCTCTACAGCCGACAGTTTTCTCTAATACTGTGTCCAGCATTGAGATTGTCGATACGTTCCTATTGTTTTTTTTTTATTTTACTAATTGTACATTTCCCCCAGAATGGCGACGGCACTCACAAATGACCTCGTGGAACATTTGACATCACAGGCTGCGAATCAGAGCCCTTGTAGACTTCCAGAGTCAATGACTGCCTTAGGCTTCCGTTAGGCTAACGAATTTTAATGGCGTGTTAACGAGCCTTTGGTTAACAAATGTTGATGACATGTATATACCACACTTCTGTAGACTTTTATTTATTATCACAGTCAAAAAGAACTTTTTTTTGTAACCAGCAAGCTTGCCGCGTGAAACACTGAATACAGCAAAGCCTAAACCTGCCGGTTATATCTATTATAGTACGGTGTGCAATGATTAGACGCATCTTTTTTTTTTTTTCATTCGGTAGGTCACCCCAATAGCAGCGTTGACCTTTTGTAACTGCAGACCAGACGTTTTCGCGTGTCGTTTACTTCCACGTAGCTGCGTGAGTCATTCTTCGCCGTGTCAGCGGCTTAAAATGCTCACATTTGTGTGAACGGAGTTGCATTTTTGTTGTGTTATTTCATTTTTGTTCATAATGCTGACACGCTGCTTATTTTTTTCCTCATCGTATATGCTAGCCACCTTGGCCTTCACAGATACACTGCAGATAGACTACAGATAAATAGTGTTCTGTCTTCTTCCCTTTCCTTCTGCGTTATCTATCTATCTATCTATCTATCTATCTATCTATCTATCTATCTATCTATCTATCTATCTATCTATATATCTATCTATCTATCTATCTATCTATCTATCTATCTATGCCCAGCAGCAGAAGCAACAGAAAAAGTTCATACCCGTCACGTGGAGAAGTCGATAGCGTTGAGAATCACAAGTCAGCTAAATTTAACGTGCATAGAAAGGAAAAAAAAAAGAACAAAAGTTTTCGCGAAGTTCGGGAATTTAATTTAGAGGCTATATATGTGCGTGACACAGAAAAAACAAAAGTGTTAGGAGATATCACATTTTATGGAAAGTTTAAAAGAAGTAAAATGTGCATCTTATCAATAAATACGTTTTGAAGGAAAACTGTCGAAAACGCTACAATTCACTCAATTTCGCCGATGCACCAAACAGTGAAAAATATAAAGCTACCATGTTGAACTCGTTTATAAAGAAAAGCACAATGTCGAACAACAGAAAAAAAAAAACAAGTGTTGAGAGAATGCGCGAAAAAGTATACTTATTGGGAACTTTTTATCATTGCTGATTTTTTATCATTTCTTTTTTTCAAAATGGTGGTCACGTGCGCAAAAAAAAACTTTTGCTGCTCAAACTATTTAGGAAAAATGCTGTTGAAATGATGTCTGTATGTGTTTAATTGTGTCCGATATATTATAGAAATAGATCTTAGCGATCGTCAAGTTTGAGAAAGCTGGCGAGGGTGACAACTGTAAAACAACTACTACAATAAGTATTTCAAGCGAGACACGCGCCGGCTGCTGTTGCTGATATACTTTCAATGCAAAATATTACTTCACAATCTACTCGAACTTCAATAGCATGGCATAACACCAAAACAACCATTTGAAATGAAAGCTTTATCACACTCTTCAGGCAGGAATGAGGAATTCATACTACAAAGCCATTCGGGTGATTATCCCTTTTAACAGGTGCTGATTGTGTATGGCATCAGAATTAATTGTAAGGAAAGCAACGGCACAACCGCTATCGTCGTTATTTTCACTCGACGTTGCTATTCAACGTGTCACCAGAATGATAAGAAAACTGAGAAGGCTCTCTCGTAACACAATCCGGTGGTCTTATTTTAAAGCGTAATCTGCGAGGCGTCTCTTTCGGGGAACAAAGACGCTCAAACTCCTTTTTTTTTTTATACACGCGTGCACCCGCAGAATCTGGCGACAATATGCGTCGATAGTTGAAATGTGTACATCAAAATAGACCTGGTATCTGACGGAGATGTATAAAAACGACAATTTCAGCGTTGCTAAATTGTGATCTCACAAAGATCCTTTGTTTTTCGGAGCACAACTCCATGTCGTGCAGATTCCAAGCGTGAAAGACAGCTACTGGTTCGGCGTCAAAACAAGCGGCAAATTCGTGCGGTAGATTCTTAAGCGTTCCATATAGTTTCTACTCCTCAGAGAAGAAACCTTCGACGTAGCACGAATACGCGTGAGAGGTCAAGGAAGCGTGGACGTTTGTGCAACTGCAATCGACCACGGCTGACCAGTGGACCTGGGAAGCAATCGTGGTTGGCATTGAGAAGAACGTGCCGCGATCTCGACAATTACCGCTGCCCGTGCAGGTGCGAGATATTCCGCGGCATGGTTTGCATCACGATCGTGCCTCGTTAGTGACGTCACCTAATAGAACGTCCATGTTTGTCTTCTTGATTGGCTTTCCGTGTCCGTAAGTACAGATGTAGGGTACACGTGCCTATTCAGGTAAGAAAGCTGCCTAAGTTTGAGATCGTAACAAGTTTTTTTTTTTTTTTACAACGACCCCTGACACTGCGAGAACGCAAAGGGCGTGTCAGCTTTGTGAGAAGAATACGTCGGTTCCATAACAAACAAATAAACATGATGTGGGGTGAATTGAATTTGGGAATAAATGAACCTAATTTTCGGGTCGATATGGAAGTGGGAAACAATGGTGAAATTGAAGGAGAAAGGCGTCATTAGCTGACATTCGTGCACGAGCGGGTGTCCCAGTGAGTGCATTCTGCAATCCACCGGACAGCGTTGCACCCAAGGAGGATTTTTAAAAAAAATTGTCGGAGAGGAAATGACTGCGCAGAAGTGACGCCGTTTTTCTGGCAAGATGGCGGCTGTGCGGCCATCTTACTAGGGGCATGATAAAGTATCACCGCTCAGCGAATAAAAATTTCCCTCGCACGCCCAACGAGTTTAATGTGGGAACTTTTTCTGGTCCCATAGTGCTCCAAGTGCGTCTTACAGTTACTAGTTTACCTTAGTGAGCCTCTAGTTGGAGGCAAGTTCTTTGAAGATTCAGTCATCCACACTTTCTTCCGTGTGTTGTTTCGTCGGGAACAACTATTTTTTAATATATAACTAACGTAGCATCTACATAACATATCTGAGCCACTTGATCTTTAAGTGGGTACTATCAGAAAACAGCATGTTTCCACCATCTTGGCAGTGGCAAAAGGTGGCTCCACTTCTGCTGGCAAGGCATTGCGGGAGTTTTCACTCCAGCAATTTTTCTTTAATCCTCCTTGGCTGAACCACGCCGAAGCAGAAATCTTTGTCGCGGGAATGCTGGCTGCCCGCGCGTGTAGTGGCCGATCATTGCTTACCACTTCTGAATTTCACGGTACAAGGTTCACGCAGCTTCTTCCTGCGGACACCTTTCAAGGGTGACGTCGGGCTCCGTTGCGTATTACGTCCTGCACTGCGACGCCGAGCAGTAAACTACCGTGTAAGACGC